CTGGCCAGTCATTAACCCTTAAACTGTCCAAACATAGATCTACATTCACACATGTAGCGCTCCGAACGTAGATCTACGTTTGATTTTACATTGTTTATGTAAAAAAACTTAGATCTACATTTGGAGTGCTATGCATGCAAACTTGTCAAACGCCTCAGGTAAATTGTCATGCAATAACTCCAGTTAATTATACTGGTTCATATACTGGTTTTTGGGAAGCACAATGAGTTCACCAACACTCTTGAGCACTGAAATACCCCCAAACCATGAGCGAGTCTGGGTATTTGGTGGTCCCACAGGTGTAGCGTGGGTCTAGCGGGTCACTACCTCTAGGCCGGTACACATGTTCCCCACGGTTACAGGTGACAGTGAAGGTTGCTTCATCACTCCAAAGTACTTCAGACCACTATTGAGGATTCCAGTGACGATATTTCTTTGCATAATCCAGACTACGTTTCTTCTTTGGCTTGAAGTGGATCGGTTTCTTAACCTGGCAATAACTATTATAGCCCAGTTCTGACAAACATCTGTTAACAGCTTTTACAGACACCTCTGAGAGAAGATGTGGGTTCTTTTCTTTCAGTTCTCTAGCAGTTATCTTAGGTGTACTCTCTAACTGCTTCTTTAACACAGTTAAGGTACGAACAAATGCCTTCTTCGAGGGGCCAGGCTGAGGTTTTGGCAGACGGTAACTCGACGCCGCCACCAGTCTTGAAACACTGCACCCAGTTCCTCACTGAATGCTTGCACACACCAACATTCTCCACTATTTCTTTCATCTGGTGTCCATCTTTGTGAAGCCCTATGATTTGAGCTATTGTTTCAGGTGTTAAACACTTCCTTTTACCCATAATCAAACATGTATAGCCCCAAAATCAAAGGGAACACCAGACAAAAGATGGGGCAGATGAGAGACAAAAGTGCAACACTTCCTCTCACCACGGCAGCCACATGAGCACTGAGAAGTCACTATGGAGTGTGGCAGCAGGCTGTGATGTCATGCTAATGGCTGCTACCCATCATAATGCACTGACAAAAAAGGACACTCCCTGTATGGTAGGCCTTTGATTTTTACCATGGCATTATGCCAGGGCTCTCACCCAGGATAATGCCATGACTACCACTGTATGTCAATGATGTGATCATGAATAATATCCACATTGGCATTTGCCCGTCTAGACATGTTGCTCAGCACGTGTTTACTTATATTTTCTCAACTTCATGTTGATAATTAACATTTTAATTAGAATTTTTTTAAATTACCCGAGTACAACAATAGAGGCATATAAGCTTAATTTCAGTTTTTATAGCTTTCTCTCTCCAGGAGTCTTTAGCAGATTCTTTGGATTTCCTTTTAATTTTATGCAATACATGTGAGAGTGTTAGATAGGACTAAGTAGAGACAAATGGTTTTAGGGACTTGGCGAACTGTTGGAGTGTAAACAGGGTAATATTTTGTGAAGAGATGCAGGGAAACTGGTTAGTCGAATTTGAGTCCTGGAGGTGAGAAGTACAATGCCTGCACTCCAAAAGAAGGGTTCAGGATATTTACTGTTTAGAGTGACACCTGAACTCTTGTATCTGTACGCCTCTGGCAAGGCAATGATAGCATAAATGATGGTGAAAGTGTTTCTTTTTCGGGTCACCCTGCCTTGGTGGGAGACAGCCAGCATGTTAAAAAAAAATATTTAAAAGTTGCACACAACAGGTTGTACTCATTTTTTGGATAGGAACTTACTTAGCATTAGGACATCTGTTGTATCAAGGTGGTTTTTATTTGAACAGATTTAATTTTGAGTTAATTATCGTAAGGTGTTGCTGCTGCTGTGTCTTAGTATACACAACAACAAACACAATTAACAATGGCAGTTATTAGGGGGTTAACATTAATAATTTGCTCTGTGGTGATAAATTGTGTTGAAATTCAGTGACATTTTGAAAATTTATAGTGCTGTAAAAATAATTTAAATGACTGGAGAAAAATATGGTAAATGGTAATAATAATGTCATGAATAACAAGGATAATGAGCACTAAAAACTTAATTAATGTAAACTGCTGAGGAAGGAGTTGCAGCTGAGTTATTATTTATACTTGAAGTAGCTTTAGTTGCAACTGCAAGGCTAAATAAACTTTAGGAAGGAGAAGGGAGAAGGTTGTGTTAATTTCGGGGTAGAATGGTATTTACAGTTTATTGTTAATGGTTTTAGTTCTGGACATATTCATGTTAGATACATGAAGTCTTGGCAGCATTCTTAAGAATTTTCATTACCCTTTTTGCTTAAATGGGAATGAGGGATTTGTAAAATAACTTTATAGAGTCTTCACAGAGAAGAAAAGTCATCCCAACTTTGGCTGCCTTGAAACCAAGAGCATACAGGAGGCCCTCCACATTTGTGAGGGTTAGGGAATCAAGAACCTCGCGAATCTTGAAAATTCGCTAGTTTGGTGCAGGGAATGCAGCTGCCAAAACGTGATCAGCCGAACCTGATTCTCCGCTCATCTTCAGGTTGTGCAGGGAGAACCATCTCTTAAATCTATCAAATCATCCTTTACTTGCTAGGAAGTCAGGATGGGTGATGGTAGGATGTCCTGGTTCTGCACTGGTTCTAGCCTCATCACTAGCCAACATATCATACAAAGTCTTTCCCTATGCACGAATTGCATTGCTGTCTATGGGATTTCCTTTGATCTGAAATCCACACAAATAATGCTGATTCCATCTTAAACATTGCACTGCTTCTTAGTTGTGACACTTGCTTGGCTGAGGGAGGAGCATTAGATGCTAGTGCCACCCTTATTTTCGCCTCATTTTTCTTGGTAGAGAGGAAGCGTTTTCCCGTACTCTTTTCCCGCATAGACATTCCGCTGGGCATTCACGAATGTTCGAAGCTCGCAAAAGTGGAACTTGCGAAAGTGGAGGGCTAGCTATATTTTTCATATTGGATGATTAATGTTAATTTAGGCATCCTCTTCCTGGGAGAGAAATCTTGACATCATTAAACATCTGATCTGGCATGTATCTCTCCTTGTCTAGGATGGCCTTGAGCTAAGCAGGATAATCTTGCCTTACATAGTGATCTCCAGCTGCCAAATCGTTCAACACCTAAACACTCTGCAGCCAGTACCTCTTTTTAAATTTCTCAGACCTTTTGTTGCTAGTACTAAAGGTACCACCGCTATTACTGCTTTCACCACCACTGCTTACCAGTTCATCAAACAGCACCTTTAATATTTCGTTGTCAAACACAAAATATACAACCTTAACACTTGCTGGCTGTGATAGTTGCCTGACTTTCCTGAATCTTCTCATTTATCTTTATGTACCACATTTTCAATTCATTAATACCACACTATAATATCCCAACACCAGCCATTATATCACCTCTGATATGTCCAATAATTCTTTCTGTCACTCAGTTCATCACAAGTACAGTATATTCTTTGTAGGAGCAGACTCCGCCACTTTGCTGCTAGTACAGCTCCGTAATCCACATAGAGGCTCAAGATAGTAATAATTGCACTCACATGTAGTGGGAAAAAGAGGGTACAACAATTTGTTCATGAAGGAAGAAACAGGGCTTTATATATTCAGCAAAGTAGTACCTGTCAGAGCTTTGCAGTACACAAACGTATTTGCATCAACTATGATACATCTGTACAGCATTATCATTTGTGCATTATTTGAAATGCAGTAAGCTATCTGATAAAACTCAACTTTATAGTGAGAATTTTTGTAAATAGGATTGTGCAAGAATGGTATATAATACCGACAAGATGAAATTAAGACACATGTGCAACATCTGGGTATCTTTATTGTAGACGTTTCGCCATCCAGTGGCTTTACAAATTCTAGGACATAACTTGAAGACAGTAGGACTATATACAGAAGATGAGGTAATCAGGTTGAGGGACTGATTACCTCATCTTCTGTATATAGTCATACTGTCTTCAAGTTATGTCCTAGAATTTGTATTGATAAAGCCACTGGATGGCGAAACGTCTACAATAAAGATACCCAGATGTTGCACATGTGTCTTAAATAGGATTGAAAAAAATGCATCCAAAATTAAATAGTGCATTGTATGAAGGCCTTCCAGTTGCTATTCAATTTTGGATGAACTTTCAGTCATATTTATAAAGAAATCACATTATGTAGTGGAACTTTATAAGAGAGCTTACTGTATGAAAATAAGTTTGGCTTTCCTTTATACATCTACTTTCTTTGGGATACAAATGTCCTCATAACCTGTGACTCTTCAAGGAAGATACCTCAGTGTCAGTGAAGGGCTCCCTATTCAGAGAATTGGAGCCACTCTTCCCTTCTTTGAGTCAAACTTGATTACCTTCCATATCCTAGGCACTGATTGGCCCCAGTGGGTTTGGTGTTCTCTCAGGTATAATAATCATAGCCCATGAATTGTTAAAGCTATTTATTAGAGATCCACGAGGAAAAATTACAAACCTTTGAAATTATCAAATTTAGATCAGCAAATTTTAAAAGACTTATGTATGTAGTTCATAAAATTTAAATTTACTCTCTAGTTCATAGGAAATACTGTAAGAGTAAAGCATTTATTTCATATTAGTTTATTATTAAATTTAAAGCAATAAAATGAACTTGCTCTGAGTGTATTGGCATACTTAATATGTTATTGAGCTTAATCATTATAATGTATTCCTCTTTAAATCTATTGTGTTTAAAAATGCCAATTTTCTTACATTGCCTCTTGTGTGTCTGCTCCTTTCTTCAGACCTAAGGCAGCCTACATGTTTTATTGATCTTTCCCAGTACCTTTTAAATACTTTTTAGTAGAAATTAAAACTTAAATGTTTGTACATTTATCTTTGGTAGTATATATTTGAGCTGCAGTACATAGTGTACTGTTTGTGTGTATATATATATAACTAACTAAAGCTGTGTAAGGTGTTATTGCTGTCTGAATATGGTTTAAAATATTTTTATACTATTTTTCTGTACATTTTTGTTTTTCAAACTTAGGTGGACCTCCTCGCGTTACCTTGGAAGAGCGTCGTGAAGTGCTTGAAGTAATAATTGGAGAAACATTGGAAGTTCGCTGTTCTGCTGAGGGAAGCCCACAACCTCAGATTACCTGGACACGTGGCCAAAACAGAGAGCTTCCTGCCAGTGTAAGTATTTTCTTTGCTTATTATAGGAATGTCACACATGTACACATGTTCTGTATATGTTTGTTATAGACACTATTAGATAGAAGGGTATGGTCCTCTTTCTCTATAGAGAAGTGTTTTTCTCTTGTTACCTTTGTTGTTTTGATTCATTTATTCTTATTCTTTCCTCTTTAAATAAGTTTTGTATAACTGATATAGAGTACAGGTCTCCCTCAACATTCACGTTTTCAACTTTCACGGGCTTCACACATTCGCAAATTCCCAACCGCCAAATTCCCAACCGCCAAATTCCCAGCCGCCAAATCATATTTAAGTTTCCCGCCACCTGCGAGTCCCTACTACCCTCCCTCCGACCCCCGCAACTGGCAGCCAACCCTCCCACCACTCAGTGTGGTGAGTGTTTTGTTTGTTCATTATTTGCTATTAAACTACAGAATAAATAATGTAAACCCATTCATGACTGCATATTGGAATGGCTATTAGGAAAGGTATTAGACGGTGACATCATGTGTTTACTCTTGAACACTGCGAAGAATTAAACATTTCTGCTACAACTAATAATAACAGTAGTAATAATAATAATAATAATAATAATAATAATAATAAATATGATATAATTGAAGAAGGAAATTGTACAAAAATACGAGGGAGTGGTTGACACATCATCAGTGTGACTGTTTATGCTGGAGTGAACATTAGTCTCCCTGCTCTTCCAAACATTTCACAATAATTCATTGTGTTTGGTGCTTGTAGATTGAGTGTGACTGGAGTGGTAGAGGCAGTGATTGAGGCAATGGTATTTAATAACATACATGTTAATAATAATACATGTTATTAATAATATGTACTATTATTATTTATAACATGTTATTAAATACATGTACATGCATGTTAATAATAATACATGTTATTAATAATAACATGTACTATTATTATTTATAGCATATATGTTATTAAATACCACTGCCTCAACCGCTGAATTATTGTGAAATGTTTGGAAGAGCAGGGAGACTAATGTTCACTCCAGCATAAACAAAGTCACACTGACGATGTGTCAACCACTCCCTCGTATTTTTGTACAATTTCCTTCTTCAATTATATCGTATTTATTATTATTATTATTATTATTATTATTATTATTATTATTATTATTATTATTACTATTGTTATTATTAGCAATAGCAGAAATGTTCGATTCTTTGCTGTGTTCAAGAGTAAACACATGATGTCACCATCTAATACCTTTCCTAATAGCCATTCCAATATGCAGTCATGAATGGGTTTACATTATTTATTCTGTAGTTTAATAGCAAATAATGAACAAACAAAACACTCACCACACTGAGTGGTGGGAGGGCTGGCTGCCAGTTGCGGGGGTCGGAGGGAGGGTAGTAGGGACTCGCAGTGGTGGAGGCAGTGGTATTTAATAACATACATGTTATTAACATACATGTTATTAAATAACATACGTTATTAAAGCATAACATGTATATATTTAGTAAAATTTACGACGTTTTCATGTATTTTATGATTATTCATGGTTCAACAAGTTAAGGAAGCAGTATTGTAATATATTTCCCTACAATATATTGGGGACCAAACATTCACGGTTTTTCAACATTCGCGAGGCTCTTGATCCCCTAACCCTCGCGAATGTTGAGGGAGACCTGTATAGTTGTAACCTGCAGTTAACTTAGATCCTTAATTTTCTTCAGAAGTTTCTTCCCAAATATGACAAAAAAAATTTCATCCAACACCAGAGAAATGGTTGATAAAAAGTCCAGTATGTCCATAATTTATCAATCACTCTAGGAGAAATGAACTACAGTAGTCCCCCCCGTATCCACGGGGGATATACTCCAAGACCTACCATGGTTACCTGAAACCCTGGATAGTGGCAAACCTTATATATAAGTCATTTTTGGTTTACACATATACCTATGATAAAGTTTAATTGATAACCTATGCAAAATAAGTCTAGAATTATCACTTTTTCACTGATGGGAAGCATTTCACGGTTTTTCTTAAACTGAATAACTACCAGCATCACTCCTTTTGCACTTTGGAGCCATTATTAAGCAAAATTAAGAGTTATTTTGGGGCCACAGTAAACTGTGGATAACTGAAACTGCAGATATCGAATCCATGGATACAGAGGTTCTAATGTACTAACTAGCAAACAGTTTAGTTGTCAGTCAGAAAATTCCTAGATATCAAATCCATTAAATTACTATTTCAAAAGTAATTCAAATGGATGGATGGATGGATAGATAGATTGTATTTACATCCCTCCCTCAATATACATTTAGAGATGAGACCAGGTATTTAAAATTTTCTTTTAACATGACATGTATTGATACTGTAAGTGGAAAATTATAAAGATTGTAATTATTAATGTTTTCACATAGTTATTTAGAATGTAAAACTGCTCTATCTACTCCACAGGTGTTCCAACAGAATGGAGTGCTTTCATTCCGAAGTGCTCATTCATCCGACTCAGGTGAATATTATTGCACGGCAAGAAATTCCCAAGGAATGGATTATGCTCGAATTATCATTAATGTACGACCTCCTGATGCAACTAGACCTTCAGCCCCTGATGAACCACTGATAATTGTACAGGTAAGCTTTCTCTATATCATCATTATGCATAATTATATAAAAAGTTCCTTCAAATTAAAAAATTGAATTGGAAAAGGTGGTAGACATCAACCATCAGTGCCACTCTCAAGTCACATGAATGTGAAAATGAAAGCCTGTTAAATATTTTGCACTTTATCTAATATGTAAGATGGCATAATATGGGGATCATTTGAGTAAAATATATAGCATAGAAAAATAATATGAATTGAAATCCATTGTTTGAAAAGAGATGGCTTAGAGCTGACAAGTTGTTTGAAATATACAAATGCAGAACAGAACTTTTATTGAGACAACATTTTGCCTGTGTAACATTCATTTGCAAGTGAAGTAGTAAGCATATTTATACAAGCATAGTAAGGTGTAAGCAGGTAAGTGAGATTGAAGCATGGGCAGTCAGGAACACCATAGGAGACATGTCTTGTGTGCATGAGAATCATCAGTGAACTGTTGTTCCTGATTCTGTAATAGGAATTGGGCTAAGGGTTTTGATATGTTGAAAGCTCCCTGATCCTGTTGAATGGTATTATGCATTCAAATTAGGGTGGATTCCAGGCATCTGATTATCTTTTGTCTCTCTCTCCTTGATCGCTAGTTGAATATTTTTCCAGGACATTAGGTGTGGTCTATTCCTGTTGTACATTTTGCAAGTGTACCAGTGTTCCTGTATCCTCCTTACTAGACTGTGAGAAAGCTCACTTAAATATTTCTTGTTGCCATTCCCATAGGGTATAGGTAAACCTTGCTTTACCATTGTTTGGGTGGTATGATTTGTACTTGAAAAGGGTTGTATTGATGATCAGTGTTATACAGTAATTGTAATTCCTGTATCTTATAAAGAGGGTTGGTGTGATATATTCTGCAATGTGGTCTGCAGGCAAGATTAGCTTATAATCACTGGGTGGGGTATTTTGTCTGCCTTATTTCTTACAATCCTAGATGTTGTATACAATATATTTGACAATCTTCTGTGATGGAACTGCTGTAACAGATAAAAGCAGGTGTAATAGTCATGGTGGTACTGTTCATACCTGCAGTGCCTCTCCTTACTTTGTCTCAATATGGTATTAGTCTGTTGGTGGAACTCTAGTCACTCTGGTTACATACAACTCACAGAATCAAACCTGATAAACACTGCCTCCTTATTTATTCAATGAAAGAGTATTTTAATAACATATTCATAGAAACTTTAAATTTGTACTGATTGTAAAAAATAAAATTGCAACCTGTTTCATATATTACATTGCTTGTGTGTTCTTGATTATTATAATCAAAGCTAAACTCTAAACCCACCAGGGGCATACACTGTGTGTTCTTGAGTATTGTATGAGGGAACATTGAAAAGTGTTTGTGTCTGTTATCTTTTCTTGGCAAAAATGTAATTGAGCCATACTGTGTATTGTTCACTGGTTATATCTGAATGTTTTCTGCAAGCTTATTGAGGCACTTATCCCTGTGTTTACCAGTTTGTTTATGTCTTCTGCATAGGATTCTGTATGTCAACAGTGATACATGTGTAGTAGTAATTCAAATACCATTTATACTCAGTCTTGCTTGCTAGCCATGACATCACGGACCAGCAAGCGAGTCTGAGTATAAATGGTATTTGAATTACTACTAAACATGTATCACTGTTGACATGTAGGCCAATTACAAAGCCATCGACAACCAGCTGTCATCACATTTTCATAATCTGTGTTGAAGCACTGTCCTCCCAGGAACCTCCTGAGAGACCCGAATAGATGGAAATTGTTGGGAGCAAGATCAAGGCTGTAATTCTATTTTTATCAGGAAAAATAAAGAATACAAAGACTTTTCAACCTGCCTTTGTACTATGGGTAATGTTAGTGTATGAGAGAGGGATGTAGACAAATGAAGAAAGTCTATAAAAGCATTTGCCAAACTTCTCCCATTTCTGTGTTATATAAATATGCTACATATTTTCTTCTTATGGTCACATTTTTTCATATTTCTAACTTGCAAGATTACTTGTAATCCTCTTGGAGGCATGACTAATATACAATGATGAGGGAAGGATGTAGAAAAGTAAGCAGAATTCATAAAAAAATATTTGTTACTACTCACTACTAGAGATGAAGTGTCCACTAGCCATTGGGAGTAACCTAACTGGGTATCTGTGTATGACTGACTGGTAGAACCATAAGCAAGAATGAAATTCTGTCATGCCTTTACAAGAGTTCTTGTTAAAAGAAAGCTTTGATTTACACTTTTAGAAATCATGTCTTCAATGTTATAATTATAACTAAGTACTAAACTCACAAGGCATAAATAAAATTAGGATTACAGCATTGTTATTATTATTATTGTTTTATAATTAGTGTGTGTGTGTGTGCTTTACAGGTATCAAGTCCAGCAGTACAAGCTCGATCAGGGGAAACCGTTCGTGTAAGATGCTATCCTGGTAGTCCAGGGGAAGGTTTAAGAATAGAATGGAATCGATTAACTGGACCTCTTCCTTCAGTAAGTGCAAAATTGTATTATCAGAATGTTGAAAACTGAATTGTTTGCATAAGAAAATCATAATTACCTTAGTTTAAATCAGTGACTTAAGTAATCATTGTACACTTTAATTTTAATTGTATAAAATAAGAAATAAATTCATATATTTTGTTTATATAAATGTATTGAGAGCATAGGCAATGGGGTCGAAGAGGTATGGGGTAGGTTTAAAAATGTAGTGTTAGAGTGTTCAGCAGAAGTTTGTGGTTACAGGAAAGTGGGTGCGGGAGGGAAGAGGAGCGATTGGTGGAATGATGATGTAAAGAGAGTAGTAAGGGAGAAAAAGTTAGCATATGAGAAGTTTTTACAAAGTAGAAGTGATGCAAGGAGGGAAGAGTATATGGAGAAAAGAGAGAGGTTAAGAGAGTGGGTGAAGCAATGTAAAAAGAGAGCAAATGAGAGAGTGGGTGAGATGTTTATCAACAAATATTGTTGAAAATAAGAAAAAGTTTTGGAGTGAGATTAACAAGTTAAGAAAGCCTAGAGAACAAATGGATTTGTCAGTTAAAAATAGGAGAGGAGAGTTATTAAATGGAGAGTTAGAGGTATTGGGAAGATGGAAGGAATATTTTCAGGAATTGTTAAATGTTGATGAAGATAGGGAAGCTGTGATTTCGTGTATAGGGCAAGGAGGAATAACATCTTGTAGGAGTGAGGAAGAGCCAGTTGTGAGTGTGGGGGAAGTTCGTGAGGCAGTAGGTAAAATGAAAAGGGGGTAAGGCAGCCGGGATTGATGGATAAAGATAGAAATGTTAAAAAAGCAGGTGGGGATATAGTTTTGGAGTGGTTGGTGCAATTATTTAATAAATGTATGGAAGAGGGTAAGGTACCTAGGGATTGGCAGAGAGCATGCATAGTTCCTTTGTATAAAGGCAAAGGGGATAAAAGAGAGTGCAAAATTATAGGGGGATAAGTCTGCGAGTATACCTGGTAAAGTGTATGGTAGAGTTATTATTGAAAGAATTAAGAGTAAGACGGAGAATAGGATAGCAGATGAACAAGGAGGCTTTAGGAAAGGTAGGGGGTGTGTGGACCAGGTGTTTACAGTGAAACATGTAAGTGAACAGTATTTAGATAAGGCTCAAGAGGTCTTTGTGGCATTTATGGATTTGGAAAAGGCGTATGAACAGGGTGGATAGGGGGGCAATGTGGCAGATGTTGCAAGTGTATGGTGTAGGAGGTAGGTTACTGAAAGCATGAAGAGTTTTTTACGAGGATAGTGAGGCTCAAGTTAGAGTATGTAGGAAAGAGGGAAATTATTTCCCAGTAAAAGTGGGCCTTAGACAAGGATGTGTGATGTCACCGTGGTTGTTTAATATATTTATAGATGGGGTTGTAAGAGAAGTAAATGCGAGGGTCTTGACAAGAGGCGTGGAGTTAAAAGATAAAGAATCACACACAAAGTGGGAGTTGTCACAGCTGCTCTTTGCTGATGACACTGTGCTCTTGGGAGATTCTGAAGAGAAGTTGCAAAGTTGCAGAGATTGGTGGATGAATTTGGTAGGGTGTGCAAAAGAAGAAAATTAAAGGTGAATACAGGAAAGAGTAAGGTTATGAGGATAACAAAAAGATTAGGTGATGAAAGATTGAATATCAGATTGGAGGGAGAGAGTATGGAGGGGGTGAATGTATTCAGATATTTGGGAGTGGACGTGTCAGCGGATGGGTCTATGAAAGATGAGGTGAATCATAGAATTGATGAGGAAAAAAGAGTGAGTGGTGCACTTAGGAGTCTGTGGAGACAAAGAACTTTGTCCTTGGAGGCAAAGAGGGGAATGTATGAGAGTATAGTTTTACCAACGCTCTTATATGGGTGTGAAGCATGGGTGATGAATGTTGCAGCGAGGAGAAGGCTGGAGGCAGTGGAGATGTCATGTCTGAGGGCAATGTGTGGTGTGAATAAATGCAGAGAATTCATAGTTTGGAAGTTAGGAGGAGGTGCGGGATTACCAAAACTGTTGTCCAGAGGGGTGAGGAAGGGTTGTTGAGGTGGTTTCGGACATGTAGAGAGAATGGAGCGAAACAGAATAACTTCAAGAGTGTATCAGTCTGTAGTGGAAGGAAGGCGGGGTAGGGTCGGCCTAGGAAAGGTTGGAGAGAGGGGGTAAAGGAGGTTTTGTGTGCGAGGGGCTTGGACTTACAGCAGGTATGCATGAGCGTGTTTGATAGGAGTGAATGGAGACAAATGGTTTTTAATACTTGACGTGCTGTTGGAGTGTGAGCAAAGTAACATTTATGAAGGGATTCAGGGAAACCGGCAGGCCGGACTTGAGTCCTGGAGATGGGAAGTACAGTGCCTGCACTCTGAAGGAGGGGTGTTAATGTTGCAGTTTAAAAACTGTAGTGTAAAGCACCCTTCTGGCAAGACAGTGATGGAGTGAATGATGGTGAAAGTTTTTCTTTTTCGGGCCACCCTGCCTTGGTGGGAATCGGCCAGTGTGATAATAAAAAAAAAATGTATTTGTCTGTTGATCTCTGTTTTTTCCTTTATTTTTTTACCTACACACTAAAAAATGTGTTGTATTCTTCCTCACATTTTCATTGGTTAACTTTTTGGTGGTATCTATATGCTCTTAATTTTCTCATATTCTTCTTTGATAGGTCTTGTTTAATTAATATGTTAATGTAGTTTTCCAGTTTCCTCATGTCCCCTAACATTTTTTTTTTTAGCAATTCTTCCATATGGATAACATGAGTGAAAGATAATTGTAATGGCTCTTTCTTCACATTCTCATATTTTCCAGTTTCTCTGTTTCCTTTTGTGTTTTTAACTGTTGAAATCATTTAAGCATTATTTCATCTTATTCTCTGTATGTTAGGTAAGACACATATGCAACAGTTAGGTATCTTTATTTTGAAACGTTTCGCCTACACAGTAGGCTTCTTCAGTCGAGTACAGAAAAGTTGATAGAAGCAGAAGATACTTGAAGACGATGTAATCAGTCCATCACCCTTAAAGTTTTGAGGTGGTCAGTCCCTCAGTCTGGAGAAGAGCATTGTTCCGTTGTCTGAAACAATATGAAATTGAAGTGACAGAATCGGGCCTTATATAGTGCCAGGAGGTGAGACGTAGGTTGATTTGGGAGGGCAGGTCCTTCTCAAACCCAGCCGTTCTCACTAGTAGAGGTTTTCGAAGTAGATGGTCTGTACCAAGATACCCTTGTGTTGCAGTGTCTGACAGAATGAACATTAAAATGGTATAAAATACCGACAGATTGTTAGGTAAGACACATATGCAACAGTTAGGTATCTTTATTTTGAAACGTTTCGCCTACACAGTAGGCTTCTTCAGTCGAGTACAGAAAAGTTGATAGAAGCAGAAGATACTTGAAGACGATGTAATCAGTCCATCACCCTTAAAGTTTTGAGGTGGTCAGTCCCTCAGTCTGGAGAAGAGCATTGTTCCGTTGTCTGAAACGATATGAAATTGAAGTGGGCAGAATCGGGCCTTATATAGTGCCAGGAGGTGAGACGTAGGTTGATTTGGGAGGGCAGGTCCTTCTCAAACCCAGCCGTTCTCACTAGTAGAGGTTGTCGAAGTAGATGGTCTGTACCAAGATACCCTTGTGTTGCAGTGTCTGACAGAATGAACATTAAAATGGTATAAAATACCGACAGATTGTTAGGTAAGACACATATGCAACAGTTAGGTATCTTTATTTTGAAACGTTTCGCCTACACAGTAGGCTTCTTCAGTCGAGTACAGAAAAGTTGATAGAAGCAGAAGATACTTGAAGACGATGTAATCAGTCCATCACCCTTAAAGTTTTGAGGTGGTCAGTCCCTCAGTCTGGAGAAGAGCATTGTTCCGTTGTCTGAAACAATATGAAATTGAAGTGACAGAATCGGGCCTTATATAGTGCCAGGAGGTGAGACGTAGGTTGATTTGGGAGGGCAGGTCCTTCTCAAACCCAGCCGTTCTCACTAGTAGAGGTTGTCGAAGTAGATGGTCTGTACCAAGATACCCTTGTGTTGCAGTGTCTGACAGAATGAACATTAAAATGGTATAAAATACCGACAAGGGTATCTTGGTACAGACCATCTACTTCGACAACCTCTACTAGTGAGAACGGCTGGGTTTGAGAAGGACCTGCCCTCCCAAATCAACCTACGTCTCACCTCCTGGCACTATATAAGGCCCGATTCTGTCACTTCAATTTCATATTGTTTCAGACAACGGAACAATGCTCTTCTCCAGACTGAGGGACTGACCACCTCAAAACTTTAAGGGTGATGGACTGATTACATCGTCTTCAAGTATCTTCTGCTTCTATCAACTTTTCTGTACTCGACTGAAGAAGCCTACTGTGTAGGCGAAACGTTTCAAAATAAAGATACCTAACTGTTGCATATGTGTCTTACCTAACAATCTGTTGGTATTTTATACCATTTTAATGTTCATTCTGTCAGACACTGCAACACAAGGGTATCTTGGTACAGACCATCTACTTCGACAACCTCTACTAGTGAGAACGCTGGGTTTGAGAAGGACCTGCCCTCCTAAATCAACTACGTCTCACTCCTGGCACTATATAAGGCCCGATTCTGTCACTTCAATTTCATATTGTTTCAGACAACGGAACAATGCTCTTATCCAGACTGAGGGACTGACCACCTCAAAACTTTAAGGGTGATGGACTGATTACATCGTCTTCAAGTATCTTCTGCTTCTATCAACTTTTCTGTACTCGACTGAAGAAGCCTACTGTGTAGGACGAAACGTTTCAAAATAAAGATACCTAACTGTTGCATATGTGTCTTACCTAACAATCTGTCGGTATTTTATACCATTTTAATGTTCATTCTGTCAGACACTGCAACACAAGGGTATCTTGGTACAGACCATCTACTTCGACAACCTCTACTAGTGAGAACGGCTGGGTTTGAGAAGGACCTGCCCTCCCAAATCAACCTACGTCTCACCTCCTGGCACTATATAAGGCCCGATTCTGTCACTTCAATTTCATATTGTTTCAGACAACGGAACAATGCTCTTCTCCAGACTGAGGGACTGACCACCTCAAAACTTTAAGGGTGATGGACTGATTACATCGTCTTCAAGTATCTTCTGCTTCTATCAACTTTTCTGTACTCGACTGAAGAAGCCTACTGTGTAGGCGAAACGTTTCAAAATAAAGATACCTAACTGTTGCATATGTGTCTTACCTAACAATCTGTCGGTATTTTATACCATTTTAATGTTTATTCTCTGTATGTTCTTGCTACAGTTTTTTCTCAGAATAACTGAAAACTATAATATAATACACCTCTTATTTTTTTTGTTTATGATACAGTAACTTACACAAATTCTTTTGTATATTTACAGCAAACAGTAATTGAAGATGGGGAGCTACAAATTCCCAATGCTCGTCCAGCAGATAGTGGAATTTATGTATGCCGTATTACAGATGAAAGAACTAACAGTTTTGAAGAGTCAACCACCCATATCACCATTACTCCATTTGTGTAAGTTTTAATTAACGTATTGATATGTCTGGAAATGGGAAGTACAATGCTTGCACTTTAAAGGAGGGGTTTGGGATATTGGCAGTTTGGAGGGATATGTTGTGTATCTTTATACGTATATGCTTCTAAACTGTTGTGTTCTGAGCACCTCTGCAAAAACAGTGATTATATGTGAGTGATCTGAAAGTGTTGAAAGATGATGAAAGTATTTTCTTTTTGGGGATTTTCTTTCTTTTTGGGTCACCCTGCCTCAGTGGGAGACGGCTGACTTGTTAAAAAAAAAAAAAAATGTCTTCCTTGTGCTTACTGTAATGTTCCTTTATTTTATCCTTATCTATTTCTGTTGTGTCCTTCCTTAGCATTTTGGCAAGTCATTATGCTCTCCACACATCCAAATTATTATCATTGCCAGTTATTGAAAGGGGAAGAATTTGCAGTTTGCAAAAGATGGAAAAAATATTGTAAGAAAAGAAAGATGAAGACAGTAGAAGCAGCACAAGACTAAAGTGGGAAAGACTGTTGAAGATAGTATAGTAGGTAAGTTTGGAGTGTGAAGGATAAATGATAAATGGTAATATAGTGGTGCCTTGACTTACGAGTTTAATTCGTTTTGTGACCCAGTTCGTAACTCAATTTGTTCATATACCAAATAATTTTCCTCACTGAAATTAACTGAAATGTTACTAATCCGTTCCAGCCCCCAAAAAACCCACCCTACTCTATCGCTTAATCGCTTAACTTACTTGCTACACTCTTCACTACACCACCATCTCTACTCCACTCACCACCTTCACTACTCCACCCACCACCATCAATACTCCACCCACCACCATCTCTACTCCACCCACCACCTTCATTATTCCACCCACCACCTTCATTATTCCACCCACCACCTTCATTATTCCACCCACCACCATCACTACTCCACCACCCGACATGCATTTGTGCATTCCACCCTATATGGCCAAGATGAGAAGAGTGCTGGCTCTTCTTGTAGATATGGACCAACAGCTCCTGGACAAACTATCAAAGCTCAACCACAAGCCAGAAGTATTATCTGTCTCTCTGGTTAAGTATGGAAAAACTGGGTAGGGATCTTGGGTCGTAGCAGTAATACCCTAGACAACCTCTCTGTGAGAGTGACTAAAGGAACCTCTGTGAGGCAGGTAAATATGGAGGCCTTCCTTAATGTTTCTGGAAAAACTGAGTGTTGAAATGGAGGTTATCTCTTCCCTGGATTTATACGAGAACCAAACAAGGGACGAGGTGCCTCACTACAATTCGGGATTAGTGTGGGAGTATTGTCCTTCCAGTTATGTCTTGGAAGAGCATGTGGGATGGGATGAAATACCTGACATTACCATGGATACAGAGTTGGATTTTACTTCAGATACGTTGCCAGCTAGTAGCGGCATATCTGAAGCTTGCTCATAACTCGGATTTTGGCTTGCAGCTCAAAGCAAAAAACTGACCAAGCGATGGCTCATAACTCGGTAAACTCGTAAGTTGGGGCACTCATAAGTCAAGGTACCACTGTACTTTTATTAATACTTTTTCACGTACACAGAGGATAAGTAAGTATACTAGAAATGATAAGAGAAACAGTTTACTAGACTATGTACGTATTAGTAAATCAAAAAGTATAATGAATAGATTTATGGATGTCCATATTTTTAGAGAGGACAATAAACATGTTTGGTGATAGCAACAGTGAGAGCAGGGGTAGATGGAGTACAACAAAAATGTCATCAGTGGATGAAAGAGAAATAAAAGTGAATGAACTAAAGGAGACAGAGGAAGAAATAAGAAGCTACTGGAAGAAAGGTGGGCCACACAGAATGCAGGTAATGAAGAAGTTGAAGAGGTATAGGATAGATTTGAGAATGCCGTGTTAGAGTTCACACCAAAAGTTCATGGGCATACATCATGGGGATGGGAAATATATAATAGCTAAATTCAGATCCAAATACCTACAAAAACCTCTCACAGTGATAAACATCTACAGAGTACTGCAGTCAAATATCAGTCATTTTAGTGAAAACCTAAGAAGTATGATAACTGATACACACATGAATAAAGATCACTTACTACTCTCAGGAGACTTCAATATAAATCTCCTGCAAGACTAAGACCCACATGTAACTGAAATCACAAACACTATGAGTAACTGCTTGTTGCTACCAACAGTAACACAACCTACAAGAATTAGAGACTAGTGTTTCCCTATTAGACCACATCTGGACCAACACCATATCCCCTTTAAAATCAGGCATAATCACAGACAGTACCAGAGACCACTACCCTAACTTTCTCATAACCAGTCTAGGTAAATTACCCCAAGACACAACTAAAGTAACCTTCAGGCTTCATAATGAGGCAGCCATTAATAACTTCACAACAGCAATGACAAACATCGACAGGCAAACTGAGCTAGAAATCTGTACAGATACTGACGAATGTATTAATAATTTTCTAAAAAAGACCCAGTACCTCTATAACAAGCACTGCCCTAAAAAATTAAACAGATCACAGCTAAGAGACTGAACAGTCCCTGGCTAACACCCAGCATCCTCAAATCCATAAATATAAAGCACCAGTATGAAAAACAGTACAGAATGGGTCACATAACCAGAGACCAAACAAAACATTACTCATCTATCCTAACCAGCCTGATAAGAAGGGCAAAAAAATTGTATTATGAGAACAGATTATCCAACTTAAAAGGTGATATAAAAAAGACCTGGAAAACCCTATCTGAAATTCTAGGAACAAAATAAAAACAGAACAATCACACTAACAAAACCAGATGAACCCCTACTCCCACCAGCTGAAACAGCAAACAGACTCAATGTTTTCTTCTCCACCATAAGAAGAAACCTTACGGATAAAATCCCAAGCTCAAACACCCTACCTAATGGCTACCTCACTGGCACCTACCTGAACACACTGTCCTAGCTCCGACCAACCCAACAGAAATCTCACCTTTTTTTTTTTTTTTTTTCAACAAGTCGGCCGTCTCCCACCGAGGCAGGGTGACCCAAAAAAGAAAGAAAATCCCCAAAAAGAAAATACTTTCATCATCATTCAACACTTTCACCACACTCACACATTATCCCTGCTTTTGCAGAGGTGCTCAGAATACAACAGCTTAGAAGCATATATGTATAAAGATACACAACATATCCCTCCAAACTGCCAATATCCTAAACCCCTCCTTTAAAGTGCAGGCATTGTACTTCCCATTTCCAGGACTCAAGTCCGACTATATGAACATAACCGGTTTCCCTGAATCCCTTCACTAAATATTACCCTGCTCACACTCCAACAGATCGTCAGGTCCCAAGTATCATTCGCCTCCATTCACTCCTATCTAACACGCTCATGCACGCTTGCTGGAAATCCAAGCCCCTAGCCCACAAAACCTCCTTTACCCCCTCTTTCCAACCCTTTCGAGGACGACCCCTACCCCTCTTTCCTTCCCCTATAGATTTATATGCTTTCCATGTCATTCTACTTTGATCCATTCTCTCTAAATGACCAAACCACCTCAACAACCCCTCTTCTGCCCTCTGACTAATGCTTTTATTAACTCCACACCTTCTCCTAATTTCCACACTCCGAATTTTCTGCATAATATTTACACCACACATTGCCCTTAGACAGGACATCTCCACTGCCTCCAACCGTCTCCTCGCTGCTGCATTTACCACCCAAGCTTCACATCCATATAAGAGTGTTGGTACTACTATACTTTCATACATTCCCTTCTTTGCCTCCATAGATAACGTTTTTTGACTCCACATATACCTCAACGCACCACTCACCTTTTTTCCCTCATCAATTTCTATGATTAACCTCATCCTTCATAAATCCATCCGCCGACACGTCAACTCCCAAGTATCTGAAAACATTCACTTCTTCCATACTCCTCCTCCCCAATTTGATATCCAATTTTTCTTTATCTAAATCATTTGATACCCTCATCACCTTACTCTTTTCTATGTTCACTTTCAACTTTCTACCTTTACACACATTCTCAAACTCATCCACTAACCTTTGCAATTTTTCTTTAGAATCTCCCATAAGCACAGTATCATCAGCAAAAAGTAACTGTGTCAATTCCCATTTTGAATTTGATTCCTCATAATTTAATCCCACCCCTCTCCCAAACACCCTAGCATTTACTTCTTTACAACCCCATCTATAAATATATTAAACAACCATGGTGATATTACACATCCCTGTCTAAGACCTACTTTTACCGGGAAGTATTCTCCCTCTCTTCTACACACCCTAACCTGAGCCTCACTATCCTCATAAAAGCTCTTTACAGCATTTAGTAACTTACCACCTATTCCATATACTTGCAACATCTGCCACATTGCTCCTCTATCCACTCTATCATATGCCTTTTCTAAATCCATAAATGCAATGAAAACTTCCCTACCTTTATCTAAATACTGTTCACATATATGCTTCAATGTAAACACTTGATCTACACATCCCCTACCCACTCTGAAGCCTCCCTGCTCATCCGCAATCCTACATTCTGTCTTACCTCTAATTCTTTCAATTATAACCCTACCGTATACTTTTCCTGGTATTCTCAGTAAACTTATTCCTCTATAATTTTTACAATCTCTTTTGTCCCCTTTCCCCTTATATAAAGGGACTATACATGCTCTCCGCCAATCCCTAGGTACCTTCCCCTCTTTCATACATTTATTAAACAAAAGTACCAACCACTCCAACACTATATCCCCCCCTGCTTTTAACATTTCTGTCATGATCCCATCAGTTCCAGCTGCTTTACCCCCTTTCATTCTACGTAATGCCTCATGTACCTCCACCACACTTACATTCTGCTCTTCTTCACTCCTTAAAGATGGTATACCTCCCTGGCCAGTGCATGAAATTACCGCCTCCCTTTCTTCCTCAACATTTAAAAGTTCCTCAAAATATTCTCTCCATCTACTTAATATCTCCCTCTCCCCATCTAC